GCTTTTAGAATTCGGAAAAAAAAGGTCTGTTCCTCCATACTAGTGTGTTCTACAGCGTCCTGTTAGTCCTGATCAGAGGGACTTGGGGTCAGGATTGTTGTGTGTGCATGCCACGATCAGCTGTGTTCTCCAGGCATGTAGTTGGTTTTTATAACCTGTGAAATAGCAGTTCTCTGGTAAATTATCTTATCCCTGCACACTTTTAAAACTGGGGCTGTGTGCATGCTAGCCCCTGTAAAACAACAACATCTGGATTGTAAAAAATAAGAACAAGCCAAAACACCCAACAAAACCAAACTGTGATGGGGATTTTGGCAAAATGTAGATTCTAAGTCAGTATATTTAGATTAGAAATTCAAATCCTCAGGAGGGTGTGAGACAATCAACTAGTTGTAAACACCTGCACGAGCAGGGAAGTAGCATGCTTGTGGCCAGAGCTGAGAAGGCACTGTCCTGATGAAGAACTCTAATACTTCATAGCCCTCCTGATCCTTCCATAATAAACTCTGTAATTGTATTATCTGAATATTTTGTGGCCACTGGAAGGTATTGAACCCAGCAGAGTGTTGTGGGAAAGACGGCTGGTGTCAGAATTAGTGAAAAGGTTAAAATGTGAAAGTATGTCAAAGTATGTCTGATCTCCATCTCGTAGGAATGTATCATGAGCTGATATTGAGGGTCATTCTTTCTCTCCCTTGGATGTTAAGAGGTGATCAGAAGCTTCTATCACACCATTTCCAGGCTAATTCTCAAAGTTTTTCTATTGTGATTTGTGATTTCAGTTGGTCCTGTATTTAAATCTGAGATCTACCTAAGAGAAATTTTTATCTCTACATTATTTATGGTTCCTATGAATGAACAGAGCTCTGGTGGCTTGGTAATAAGCCATTGTGCTGCTGATCCAAAGGCAGGCAGTTCAAATCCACCAGTTGCTCCAGGGGAGAAAGACGGACAGTGTCTGTGTGATTTATTACCTTTGAAAACCTGTGGAGGGTCAGCTTTAGGTCAGTTCTGATGGTAGTACACCACCACTACCAAATGCTTTAATAACATAAACTTCATTATGTCTATTTCTAATGTTCCTGTGTTGTCTTTTGTAATTTTTGAAATGTTGTTGTGTACCATGGGTCAGAAATGACCCACAGCTGACCCTCCAGTGGGTTTTCATAAGCAGCTAATTACATGGGAGGAGATTGCTCATCCTTCTGCAGAGCTGCTGGTGGCCTCAAACCAAGTGCCTTTCCTTGAGACTGCAGTGCAGCTTCTTGCCACTAGGCCACCAGAGCTCCCTAGTTTTAAAATAGGAATCTTTTAAACAGAAATAAACAAGAACAAGGGAAAACACTAGCAAGAAGTATAACAAAGCCTATGAATAACAACCATTGTGAAAGAGGTAAAAAACCCAAAACCCCAAGACTCAACTAATTTTGCATATAATATTCGGACTATAACTTCAAATCAAAGGACAGAAGCCTTACAAACCAATCTGTAGCTCGAATTCATTGGTTAATGTTACCTAATGGTTGTTATCACACATTAGCAAAATCCTGCTAAAGATTATCCAGAAATGACTGGAACAGTACACTGACAGAGAACTGCCAGAAAAATATAAGCTGAGTTTAGAAAAGGCCATGGCACTAGATACATTATCTCCAGTATAAGATAGATGGTAGCAGAAAGCAAAGAGTACCACAGGAATGTCTGTCTATCTGTGTTTTTTCATTGACGATGCAAAGGCATTTGAATGTGTGGACGGCAACAAAATTGTGGTGAACCTTAAGGAAAATGGGGATTCCTGCGTGAAACCTGTACTCAGACCAGGAAGCAGTCCTCAGAACAGAGCAGGGAAACACTGCATGGTTCAAAATCAGGAAAGGTGTGCATCAGGAATGCATCCTGTCTCTTTATCTTTTCAGTCTATATGCAGAGCAGATAATTTGGGAAGCTGGGCTTTATGAGGAGGAATGTGGCATCAGGATTGGAGGAAGACTCATCAACAACTTACATTATGCAAATAATACAACCTACTAGCTTGCTGAAAATGAGGACTTAAAACACTTGCTGCAGGTCAAGGACTTTAGTCTTCAATATGGATTGAAGCTCAACCTCAGGAAGACAAAGATTCTCACCTCTGGGCCAAATGGTAGGACCATGATAGAGAGACTGAGGTTCTTAAAAATTATAGCTACCTCAGCTCCACAAACAATACTTTTAACAGAGCAGTCAGTAAATCACAAGACAAACTGCACTGGGAAAATCTGCTGTCAGGAACCTCTCCAGAGTTCTGAAATGCAACTATATCAATCTAGAGACTAACGTGCCTCTAATCCAGGCCATGGTCTTCACAATTACTTACTACGTATCAGACAACTGATGACAGAAGAAGAATTGGTATCTTCATATTGTGGTGCTGGAGAAGAGTCTTGAACATACCATGGTAGAAGGGTGGAGGAATATAGTGCAGGAGAGGAAGACTTCAGAGGAGATGGATTGATACAGTAACTGGAGTAGTGGGGGTTGAAATCATTGAGACTGGCTCATGATAGAGCAGGCTTCAGAACTACTGTTCATGTAGGGTCACTATGGGTCACTGGCAATTCGACGGCACTTAACAACAACAACAACAACAACAACGATTATTGATGATGAGCCCTGGTGGCACACTGGTTAAATATCTGGCTGCTAATGGAAAGGCTGGTGTTTCAAACCCATAAGCTAGTTGGTGGGGGAAAGAAGTGGATGCTTCTGTAAAGATATGCAGCCTCTATGGGGCTGTTGTCTGTCCTACACAGTTGTTATCACTCATGGCGTTTTTGACAGCAGAGTGTTAGGTTCTGATTCTAGATTGGGATTTCTGAAACTACTTTTGCACTTTTGGTTTATTCTAGAATTATGCAAATGCTAGAGAAAATATATCGAGGAAATAGATTGAATTGGAATCATATTTCTTTTAAAAGAAACTCTTGTAAAAGAAAAGAGTGAGTCACAAACATGGCAAGTGGAGAATGGAAAGGACCTGTAGTGGTGGACTGGAATTGGTAGAACTATTAAAAAGTTGTGTGGTTTTTTAAAAAAAAAAATATATATATATATATATATATATATTTATTTATTTATTTATTTTAGTGAGATAGATAATGAGGAAAACTCCAAAATGGAACAATGCGTTGCTATCAAGACCCTTCTGACTCCTGGGGCCCATCTGTATCAGAGCAGAATGTGCTTTCTGGGGCTGACAATGGCTGATTGTTGATAAGCTGACTGCCATACCTGTCTTCCATAGTACTTCTGGGTGGACTTGATCTACTAACTTTTCAATGAGTAGTCAAGCATTTGTACCACCTGTAACCACACCTGTATTTATTTCCAGTTGTCTGCATAGGGAGCTCTGCTAGTCTAGCGGGAAGAAGCTGTGCTGCAATCCCAAAGGCATACGGTTCGAATCCACTAGCTGCTCTGCAGGAGAAGAATGGGTAATCTCCTCCCATACAATTTATTGTCTCTAAAAAGCTGCTGGAGGATCAGCTATGAGTCAGTTCCAGCTTGACAGCACACAGTGACAAGATGCTACCTGCACTGCACCTAGAAGTGATGACCCTATTAGCAAGCACAACTAACATGCAGTTCTTACTTTTAAAATAACCATTTCCCCCAAAAAGGAACCAATACTTTCTGGATAGTAGTTAATTCCAGGGCAGGGGCAGGAAAGTATAGGCTGAAAATAGAGCTTTGGTGGTCTAGTGGCAAGAAGTTGTGCTGCAATCTCAAAGGCATGCAATTTGAGGCCACCAGCTGTACTTCTGGGAAAGAATGGGCAATCTCCTCCCATGTGATTAACTGGCTCTGAAAACCCACTGGAGAGTCAGCTATAGGTCAGTTCCGAATCTAAGTACACAGCAATATCAACAGTATCAGAAAGGAGAGGAAATGTTAGGAAAATCATGACTGAGAAGTCAAAAGTACATCTCAACTCACTCAATGCTGTCTGAACCAACTTGTAGCTATGAGTTGATCCTTTAGCAAATTTTTGGAAGCTATAAATCACACATGAGGAAACTGCCCATCTTTCTGTCTCAAAGAAAGATATAGCACTCCATAAATTCCAGCTGATGAATGCATCTGGAAGAATCAAAATGTGCAGGGATAAAGAACTGTCTGAACAGGTATAGCTTTTATGAGGACAGGCAGGGACATGGATATAAACTGGAAACTGGGGTTCTGGGAAGATGAGTCAGTCTGATGTGGAATGTACCAAAACACAGAGGAAAGGGGGCAGTGAGAGGTCTTAGATCCACATTCTGGAACTGGAGACCAAGTAAAGCCTGAAGAACTTGAAGGTTATTCTTTTTTTTTTTTAAGTTTTACTATTTTTTGTGTGTATCATCAAATCAGATCTTACTGGTACAGGAGATTGCCCCTCCTTCTCCAGCAGAGCAGCTGGTGGATTTAAATCACATATATCTGGGATTGCTGTGCAGCTTCTTGCCACTAGGCCACCAGAGCTCCCTAGAACTTGAAGGTTATTTTTAAAGACAGTGACAGCAATCAGAAGAACTAAAACACTGAACTTGGTTTTATGTGATAAGGGTTTCAATCACGGCTACTGAAAAAGAAATTACTACTCACAACAATACCAAACAAGAAGTCTGTTGTGGTGGTCTTGAATCAAATGTTGGTTTACATTTTGGTAACGTTCAATTACAATAATAAACTCTCTTAATGAATACTCAATCTTCATCATCTGTAATACTCTCCACACCTGGCCATCCAACCAGGAAATGCAACAAGCAGCTGACAATTTTTTTTTTAAAAAAGTAGCGATCAGACTAGGTAAAGAGCAGTGGAATGACAGAGAAGGAAGTTGAAAAGGATATTTCAGAGGTGGGTGTCAGGCTTGGTAGATGGCTGGAAGTTGGAGAGGAGACTGAAAGTGAAAGGCCAGGAGGGCCAGAAGGAGCTTGGAGAGCCATGCTGGGGCTTTACTCCTGCTAGCCTCACAGCTACACCCTTGTGTGAATCTGCTGGTGCTTCATCAGTTTTGATCGCTGGCTAAAGGCTTTCCCACAGCTGGTGCAGCTGTAGGGCTTCACACCAGTGTGGATCCTCAGGTGCTGTATGAGGACTGAGCGCTGACTGAAGGATTTCCCACACTCACTGCATTTATAGGGCCTCTCACCAGAGTGGATGATCTGATGCTGAATAAGATGTGAGCTCTGGCTGAAGCCTTTACCACATTCGATACACGTGTAGGGTTTCTCTCCAGTATGAACTTTCTGGTGGTGAATGAGATTTGAACTTCGGTTGAAAGCTTTGCCACACTGACTACATTCATGGGGCTTTAATCCATTGTGAATTCTCTGATGCTGAATGAGGGTTGAGCTCTGGCTGAAGGTCTTCCCACACTGGGTACATTCATAGGGTTTCTCTCCTGTGTGGACACGCTGGTGAAGAATAAGGTTGGAGCTGCGGCCGAAGGTCTTCCCACACTCTTGGCACTCATAGGGCTTGTCACCTGTGTGCACACCCTGGTGCTGGATGAGGGCCGAGCTGTGGCTGAAGGCCTTCCCACAGACACCACATTCATATGGCTTCTCTCCAGTATGGATGATCTGGTGCTTCCGCAGCACTGAGCTGTAACTAAAGGCTTTTCCACACACACTACACACGTGCGGCTTTTCTCCTGTATGAATTCTCCGATGCTGAATAAGGCTCGAACTTTGACTAAAGACTTTCTCACAGTCACTGCATTTGTAGGGTTTTTCTCCAGTGTGAACCCTGTGATGCTTAATGAGGTTGGATACACGGCTGAATGGTTTCCCACAGTCGCTGCACTCATAGGGTTTCTCTCCAGTGTGAACCCGCTGATGTTTCCTCAGATGGGAGCTCTGGCTGAATGCTTTCCCACACTCATTACACCCAAAGGGTTTTTCCCCTGTGTGGGTCCTGTGGTGTTTAATGAGGTTTGAGCTCCGTCTGAAGACCTTCCCACACTCCCTGCACACATAGGGTTTCTCTCCAGAATGGATTTTATGATGCTGGATGAGGTTTGAGCTCCGTCTGAAGGCCTTCCCACACTCACTGCATTCATAGGGTTTCTCATTCATGTGAGACTTTTGATGCTTTTTCAGGCTTGAATTGTGGCTGAAGGCTTTTCCACATTCATTGCACATGTAAGGTTTCTTTCCACTTTGGCTGAGTTGATGCTGGATGAGGCTGGCGTGAACACTGAAGGTTTTCAGACACTCACTGTACTGGAAGGGTTTTTCACTCACAGGATCTCTGTGGCTGGTAAGAAGGGAGTTCTGGCTAAAAGCTTTTGCACATTCATGACATACAAAGGACTTCTGTCCACTATGGATTATCTGATATTGGGTAAGTTCAGGGCTTCCTCCGAAGGTTTTTCCACACTCATTACAAATGTAGGGGCTTTCAGCTAGGGGGCCCTCCTCAGTAAGGTCCATGCTGTGGTGGACACTCTGGCCATGAATGTCATATGAATATGGCTGTTCTTTTGCAGGAATTTCCCTCCCAAAACCATTACAGTTCAGACCTTTCTCTCTGGTGAGGATCAGATCCTCCTCCAGTCTCCCACCTTGAGGTGTGTTCCAGTCTGCTTCTAGGATGCCATCACAGAGTTCTCTGAGCCCAGGTGATAGGAAAGCTTCAGTGACATGGTTTTCTGCTATTTCCGCCTGATTCACAAATGCCTTGTCCTCAGTCCCTGTGTTACAACCTGAAAAGATAAATATAAAAAGTTACTTGGGAAGAGGTGATATAGCACAAAAATCTACAACAGCCAGTATGCAGTTACACTTATCTCATTCTCTCATCTTCTCTGGAAGAAGTGAGGGACAGAGGGGCCTAGAGTGGGGTAAGGGTGTCCCTAGATCTTGTGAGGGCCAACGAGAGACTGGAGAGGACTCTTGGTGGACTCTGACTTGCTGTCCCAGGATTCCCACCTCAGATCATGCTTCTCCAATTTCTTTTCCGGCTCAGGTCACATTCCTGGGAGCTTCCCAACCCCCTTCTTTTCACAGACACAACTGGATCATCAGCAACTTTTTTCACTCTCCATTGGAATGTACCAAATCCAGGAAGCCCTCAGCCCAACAGCACAAGGAAACATGATGTGCCTCTGCCACTGTCACATGCTCTATCCTGCTTTTTCCCCCATGGTATTAAGCTGCTCAGAATGTCTTAGTTCTCTCCGTGCCTACTCATGGAAATTCCAGTCTCAGTTGAAATTAACAATGTGGAGAGACAACCAGTGGCAGGTCCAGAGCAGTTCCAGGCCACGAGCATGGGGCTGACAGCCACATGGACTTGTCCAATCCTCATGAAGGGCCATCCCTATGGCCCTACATGTCCTGCTCCACAGAGAACCATCAGGGATTGTGATCTCTTCTTGCGAAATGGAGCTTTTACTACTTACACCTGAAATTCTCAATGGAGTCTTGTCTTAGTTTAACATGTCAGTCTTTCTGAAGAAATAGATGTATCAGGTGCTTTGTCATGTCATAAAAGGTACTTTGGCACATTTTTCATCCCTCCAACAGAAGGAAATGATAAAAGTATTTGCTGCCTTAAATCTCACACTCAAAGAACCCAAAAGTCTCTCTCTCATTCAAACCGAGTTTATGCCATGTCTTCCCTTGCCTGGATGCTGAGTAACTTGCTTAGGCTCCTTGCATCCCCTCCACTCCTACACAGCCCAGGAACATCAGGGCACGCTACTGTCACTGTGCTCAGAGCACCTTAAGTCCTCCCTGGATGCATGACCCAAGCCCTCTAGCTTCTTTGCCATTTCTGCTTTTGCTGCTCCCTGACCACAGCAGCTATGATCCACCTTAGTGTCTACATCACTTGTTTCCCCTCCTGGAACGCTCTCTCCAGTGATCCTCATTTTCCCCTTTCTTTCTCCTGGTTTCTGCTCAAAGGTTCTGTGCTGGAGAGGCTGCTTCCCCTCTCTCTCCTTGTCTCTCTGCCTTGCTATTTTCCTGCACTACACTGATTACTCCATAACACATTGCCGCACACTTTTAATTGACGACCGTGTTACATTTTTTTACCATCATTTGCGGCAACGTTTTAACAGAGGCGCAGGGGTTCCACACCCCAAATATACACCATCTTCGTATCTAGCAGTTACTCAAATGTTGAATAAAGGGCACTGTAATGGATTAAAATGCATCCATTTCGAATGCGTTGAAATCCTTGCCCCTATCCTAGCCATGTTCTTTTCAGTCATTTATTATGCATCTGAGAGCAGGACAATGAATAAGGATGAGAGAGAAGAACTGATTCCTTTGAGCTATGGTATTTGAGAAGAGTCCTAACTATACCATGCACTACAAAAAGAACAGTTATGTCTTGGAGAACGTGCAGCCAGAGTGTTCCCCGGAAGCAATTCATACTTAGATACTTTGGACACTTGCTAGGAGAGGCTGTTCCTTTGAGAGAGACATCATGCTTGGAAAGGTGGAGAGACAGTGAATAAGAGGAAGACCCTCAACCAGATGAATTGACACAGTGTCTGCAGCAATGGGCTCGAGTATGTCAGAAATTGTGAGGATGGCACAGGAAAGGACAGGGTTCAGATCTGTTGTTCATAGGGTCGCTATGGGTCATATTCGATGGTACTTAACAACATACCTATGGATGCAATCCTTTGTAGACAATGAGTTTCTTCTGTTTAGTTCACTGGATCATACCAGAGTAGGGTACATTCTAAAACTCTCTAATCACTTTTGAGTTACAGAAAGAAGAGATCAGATACACGGAAATGCACATACTTGGAAGAAAGATGTCACATAAGGATCACCTAGAAACCAAGATGCCCAAAGCTACTTAGGAGGAAGGGCTGACATGGTTGGGACCTTAATTTGAACTTTTGCATTCCAAAACTATAAGAAAATACATAATTTCCTTAAAACCACCTGGTTGTGGTACTACTTGTACAGCAACACTAGGTAACCAAGACAGTTGCTCCTACTAGTAGACATCCCCACTCCCTGGGTCCAGTAGCCCTCAACAAACCTTACTTCATGCCAACACCCTCTCCATTTCAGACTGCAATGGCATTGTCTGTCTCCTTGCCTTCAGTCTAGATGTTTCTCTGTGGAGCTGCCCGAAGGCTCAAAACGCAGACCTGGTCTGGCCATACACATTCCTCGTGAGATCAGCCCTTCTGCCTACCAGTCTCTGCCTTGTCCTTGTTGGTACTTCATGCTCTAGATACCTTAGCATAGAGCTAAGACACATTCCATTCTTTGGCACCTCTATCAGCTCCCTTACTGGGTACCAGAGATAGATGCCACCACCTTTCTTTTCCCTCTTGTAGCACCTCCAGGTCATCTATCACACAATGCGCATGAACAAAGGAGACCTGCATATTCTCTCATAGCCCAGGTCCTTCTTTGTAGTGTATGACGCAGAGATGGGAGAGTGAATTATGGACATAAGTCTCTAAAGGGCCTGGGAGAATCTACTTTCAGATCTGTGGTTCCATAATCTGAATGTTATTTCTTCCTATGGATGCTTTAAAGATAACAAGCTGCTTACTACTTACAGAATATAAAGTACAGGTCAGTGGTGAAATTTTCCTGAGGGTCACCTGCTGTTCCTAGATTTGAATGCCATGTCACCAATCCAAAGCAGAAAGTGGTGGCTTCGAGGAATAGAGGTAGTTGGCCTTATTATCAATGCATAAATTGGGCAGGTAGAAAGGTGGTTGCTGAGTGGGAGAAGGGAACGGGGCCAAGAAGAGAAAGAAGTGAAGGTGCGTGAGACACTTATGAAGCAAGACACACCAGTAACAGCCTGAGCCACCAGGTGGATGGAGAAAACGTTAGAGACAGGAAATAAAAAGTGATGGAGGTGAAGGGTAGACTACCACAAATTCATTTTTTGGACTTGTTAAATGTAATTCAATTTTTCTCTGCATGTAAGAGCTCTAGGGAAGAAACATACAAGATTTTCCTTAAAAAGCAAATGTAAAATTAGAAAATTATTTTCTGTATTGTAGAAAAGTATTTTAGAAGTAATTAAAAATTTGGTTTAAAGATTAAGGAACAAGTTAAAAGCAAATACACCTACTGCACAGCACTTGGCTATTTACATAATCCTAGCAGTCAACTAGAAAGAGTAAGGGCTCCAAGCCCTTCTAAACAAAACAAACCCATTTGTTTTTCTCCTCACAGAGAACGTTCAATAAGGCTCTTTATAATTACTTTTTCAGGTTTGTACTGTATTGGACAAAGTAGATAATAACACAAACCTAAGTCCTGAGACTACACATAGATGAATATTATGCAGGACTGAGTTGACCACCTGGTACTTTGCCAAAACTAGAAGCACCTCTTGCTTAAGTGGAGTTCCATCCTCCTCCCTCTAGTCTGCAGCTTTTAAAACTCGAGTAATAACTTGTTCTTTCTGGGTCTTGGTTTCCCTTTCCCCCTGTACATTCCCTGCCCAGGGTCTCCAACAGAGTTCCTAGGCTGTCTGGTTAACATCCTGCCTGTGCTCAGGGCTGATGCTGCTGATGGTCAAGCCAGGCCCCACTTCATGTATTTCACTCTCTACCTGCCCAGTTGAGAATGTGCTCCTTCTCACCTGCTCCTTTTTGTCATGCAGGCTTTGCCCTGGGACCGCCGATCTTTTATAGTTAGGATACTCTGTACAGGTATCCTAAGAATAAAAATAAGTCACCATTTTAAAACATGCTGATGGCTGCGAGAGGCCCAGGGCAGAGGCAAGCTAAGACTCCCTTGCAGGGTTTGAAAACACTGAGAGGGACAGGGTAGTGTGAATGCTGCCAGGAAAAGCAGAGTCAAGGCCTGGAGAAGGGCAGAACACAAAGGACCTGGCCCACAGGTTGTGGGGCAAAGTGAATGGCCTTAGCAGCTGTCACATCTATGCTTATGCCAGGTAGAAAAACCAGTGTCTCTCGTTCAGGAACCAGGGGTCAGGTCAAGCTGTTTCCTCCCTTGGCACCTAGCCTTGGGCCTCTAAAGAACAACACAGATGCCTGTATGAGTGAGAACAGATGAAGAGAACACTGTCTCCAAGAACGAGGGCCAGTACAGGTACCTGAAGGGTGATGAGAGGGGATGGCTCCTGGTTCCACATCACTGCAACAGAGGGAACTGAAGAGTACAGATCCAGGATGGGTCATGGCTGGAGTGTGGGTTTGGGTCGCCTGGGTCCCAGGAGATGGTCCTAGGACCACTGGCTCCATTTCAACCTCTTCAGTGTGCACTCTGGGGCCGGGCATGGTTGGAACCTGGAGACCAGTGGGGGACATGTGAGCTGTGTGGAGGGCTTATTTTCCCATTGGGCAGGGGCCACCTCCTCCAACCCTGCAGCCTCAGACAGTCTGGAGCTGCTGAGTGTCAGGAACAAGCTCCATCTGTTCTGAACCTAGGCCCAAGGGGAGGGAAATCAGCAAGGTAATATAGTCCCTACAGAGCCTGTGCCTGGCCCTCAAGCTGTTTGTTCGTGAGGGACCATCTCACAATACAGACATCTGCAATCCATAATGCCGCCTCGACAACCCCAGTGGCTAATTCTGTGCTGTGTCCTCATGAATGTCACCACCCCATAAGCCTCCTTTCTCACAGCTTAAAATAACAGCTCCACTCAGTCCATGGAGGCTCATCTACCTTTTGATGTTGGCACTGGGGTCTCTCTTCAGCTGTCGCGTGAGCTCCCCATATGGTCTTATCCAATTCTTACCATGTGAGGATTCAACACAATTCTTTAGCCCTGACTGTTTGCTTTCTCAAGCGATGACATTTCCACCTGGCACATGGTAGTTCCTTACGAGGACTGAGTTACTGACCAACTCTTAATCATCTAGATAAATGCACCAGGACATGGCCACTGGCCATGACAGCTGGCTTGAAATCTTCTTGGCTCCTGACCTACATCACCCCATCAGAAGGTCCCTAGGTTATATTACATCAAGTTTCCTGAGTGATCTCAAGAGCTGCCTCTGTCCAATCCAATAGTCCTCTAGAGCCCCTCTCTGTGTGGCCTGCATACTCCTGTCTGTCCTTTCAGTAGGCCTACCTCAGGTCACCCCTAGACTTGGCCTCAATCACACCTTCTCTCAGGTGGTGGCGCCACTGGAGGAAGTTCTGTGTCGTCATCGAGGGATCCTATCCACTTGTCATGTTCCCTTCCAGCCTCTGAATTTCTGACTGCGTCACTGAAGGAAGATTTTTGGGAATAGACTCCCACCCACCCAGCCTTATCCCCATGGCTTGGAGAGGTCCTGAATGTTTGCTGCACAAGATAAGGAGCCTGGAGCCACCATAGGCGGCCTCCAGAGAAAACATCCAGGCCTGATGGGCCAAGGGTACTGAGTGAGAAGGGGATCTGATGAGACCCACAAGGTCTGGGAGAGTTCAGAGGCCAAATCCTGCAAAGGACATTGCTTTTCAGTCTGAGATTGGCTGTGTCCTTTGGGACGCATACTTCTCCAATATTTTCAGTTGTTACTAGTGACCAGTGTCTTGAAGGGCACAGATTCTGGAGACAGTGGGGAGGCCCCATAGGACTGCAGTGAATGAAAATACTGTACCTTGTGAGATGTAAAGGCCAGAGGTGACGGCAGTGTGCTGATAGCCTGTGATTGGCTGCCCATGTCTTCTGGAACTTTCTGACAGTGGAGGTGAGGCTCACAGCCAGAAGCTAGGGCTCCTGTTCCTTTTTGCCTTTCCCGAAATTGCACCAAGGATGAACACATTTAGATTTCCTCTGGACTGAGACAAAGTGGAGCAGTGCTACTAGGAGGCAGTGATGGCAGGATCACTTGCTGATGGGATGTGTATGGGGCTGAGCTGTGGTTTCTCTGCAAGTGGGGGGCAGGAGGAAGGTGCATGGAGTTAAGGTGATGGAGAACGTTTCACTCATGGGACCTAGGCTGTAGACAGAACAATGTCGGGTCAGTTGTGGGGCTGCTGGACTGAGACCAGGAAAAGTAAGGCAGTGAAGGTCAGAGGTTAGGTATGGGGATAGAGGTAGTGGGATAAAGTGAGGATCTGAAGTTGGGAGTCCCAATACACTTAAAAGGAACCCAGTAAGATGAGGGGGCTTCATCCAAGTTTGGAAGGATTCCCATATTAGGACAGGGGGAGGGAGAACAGGGTTCAGAAATGTTTCTATAAAACCTAAGGAGAGCTGACACCTGAACCCATGGGACCATTAGTAACTGCATCAGCTCAGCCTGGAACTGCAGAATCTGTTTCCATGGAGGACAGACTCAATTGCTGCAATATTTGCACAGCTAACTTTATTTTTAAGTACTCCATATTACCATCATTTTTAGAGAAAAGGGGAAGTCACACGATATGAAAAAAAGACTGTGATGAATAATCTGCTTTCTCTTCTCGGCTGCTGACTTCTTCCCAGTTTCTGGTCAACCATTCCAGAATATTAAGGCTTAGACAAATAATATGTGTAAACACTGTATTTTAACATGTTGTTGTTGTTGTTGTTATGTGCCATCAAGTCACCTGCAACTCATAGTGACACTATGCACACTAGTTCTGAACCACGCTCTTTCCTGAGCCAGTCTCATCGTCTCTGACAGCCTAATCCCATTTCTCCAATCACTGAGTCATTCCATCTCATCTTGGGTCTTCCACCTGTGTGCTGTCCCTCCACCCTTCTGCACATGATGTCCTTCTGCAAGTACCAGTCCTTCCTGGCCATGTGTCCAAAATATGAGACACAGCTTCAAAATCCTTGCCTCTAGGAAGCAGCCTGGTTACATGCTTTCCAGGACAGACCTGTTTGGTTCTCCTGGCAGTCCACAGAATGTTCAACAGTCTTCTCCAGCACCATACGGCTTTGATCTATCTTCAATCATCCTTACTGTCCAGCTCTCTGATGCATAGCATGTAATTGCAAAGATCAGGGCCTGGATCTGGCACACCTTAATCTCTAGACTGGTATCGCTACTTTTTAGGACCCTAAGAGGTCTCTACATAGAGAAAGCTATGTTGGCCTAGTGGACAGAAAGTTATGCTACCAAGCCCAAGGTGGGTGATCTTAAGCTGCAGCCCTCGGGCCTGGTTCAAATTGTTTTTCTGTCAAACATTCCTCTAGGTGGTACAGCACTGGTCTATGCATTGCTGTACAGAGCTAACTTGTGGTCCTGTGATACTGAACACTATGACACTGGTGTGCCAAATGTGATAATGGTTAACCATGGTGGACAGTGTTAGCTGGAGCTTCCCGATTAAAACAAGCCTGGAAGCCATTTCCAAAATGGCCTGCCTCCAGAAACTCTATGAACAGTGCTCAGGCCTTTCGTTCATAGGGTCACTATGAGTTGTCTACAACTCAACGGCAACTAACAACAAGAGGTCTGATATCAGATTTTCCTGAATGCTGGTTCCGAAAATGTTGACTGTGGACCCAAGCAAGCTGAATTTGTTAACACTCTCAATCTCTTCTCCATCTAGCATGAAACTGCCAACTGGCCAATGGTAAGAATCATTGTCTTTTTTTATGCTGAGCTTCAATCCATATTGAAGACCACAGTCCTTAACCTTCTGCAGTTTCAGCAAGCAAAGTTGTGTCATCTACACAATGCAGGTTGTTGATAAGTCTCCAATCCTGATACCACATACCTCCTCATAAAGTCCAGCCTTCCAAATGATCTGTTCTGCATATAGAACATGTTGACACACCCCTTTTTTTAAAAAAAAAAATTTAAATTATTCAGTAAAAATTTAAAGACTTTGGATTTCCATTCATTCAATGTTGCACTTTTCTCCCCTTCCCACCCTCCCCTCCAGAACACTACCCTCTTGGAAAAGTAAAATTCTTTGTTTTACAAATCCTCCCCCAGGTCCACTCCATCATGTAACCTTCACTCTAGACTCCTTTCATGACAAAAATACCTAATCACATATACCTTTTAAACAGTTTTCTCCCTCATCTGTTTCCACACGGCATACATTATTGAATCCATCTTTCTCAGTCTCTCCTCTACCCCGAGGTCAGTCCTGTTTTACAACAGTGGCACCATATAGTATTTTGTCCTTTTGTGACTGAGATACTTCACTCAGCATAATGTCCTCCAGGGTCACCCATTCTGAATAATATTGCATGAGTTGCTTGTTTTTCAATGTAGCGTAGTATTCCATTGTGTGAATATACCACAGCTTCTCTATCCATTCGATTGTTGATGGGCACTTAGGTTGTTTTCAACTCCTTGCTAATGTGAACAAAGCCGTGATAAACATGGGTGTGCATATATCTGCTTGGATGTCAGTTATGGTCTCTTCGGGGTATATTCCCAGTAGTGAAATTGCTGGGTCGAATGGTACCTCTGCAACTTTCTGAGAAAGCGCCATACCGCTTTCCACAGTGGTTTTACCATTTTATACTCCCACCAACAGTGAGTAAGGGTTCCAGTTTCTCCACAACCTCACCAGCATTTGTTGCTTGCTGTTCTGTTAAATTTTGCAATTCTGACTGGGGTAAGATGATATCTCATAGTTTTAATCTGCATCTCTCTTAGAGCTAGGGATTTTGAACATTTCTTCATGTGCTTGTTAGCCATCTGAATGTCATCTTTAGTGAAGTGCCTGTTCATATCCTGTGCCCATTTTTCTACTGGATTATTTACCTTTATCTTGTTGTGGTACTCAAGTATTTTATAAATTCTGGATATAAGTCCCTTATCTGATATGTCATTACCAAATACTTTTTCCCAGTCTGTGGCTTCCCTTTTTACCCTGTTGGAGAAGTTTTTGGATGTGCATAGGGATTTGATGCTGAGAAGATCCCATTCATCTATTTCATCTTCTCCTGGTTGTAGGACACACACCTTTCCTAATCCTGAAACATGGAGTGTTTCCCTGCTCTATTCTGACTACTGCTTCCTGGTCCAAGTATATGTTTCACATAAGCACAATTAAGCGTTCTGGGATACCCATTCTTCTCAATGTTAGCCACAATTTGCTGTGATCCACAGTCAAATGCCTTTGCATAGTAAATGAAAACTGGGACGAATTCAACAACCGCATGAAGTTTGGTTCAGCCAACAACCTGAATGCTCTTGGAACCACTCTTCTGGTGGTTAAGAAAACAGCCTAATGCTAAAGCAAATAGACCGTGTATCACAGACATCCTCTAGGGGGTCCTACTCCCAAGCCGACCGCTTGGTGCCCAGCCCACTCTGGTTGCTCAACCGGTTCTGTGCCGTTCTAGCGTTCGCAGCCAGCTACAGGGCCCCTGTCTGCCACTCCTCCCTAAGCCTGAAGCACAGTTCAGACGCACACCTACTGACAGCGCGGCCCAAGCTCCAACGGTAGATTCCAGCGAGGGTCCGGCCGCCGCGCAGAGACCGCCCTTTGCGGCCACGACCCCTTCCAGCAGCGCCCGCTCCGCCCCCCGCGCGGCCCCGCCCCAGCGGCACCGTGACGCTATTAGGGCGACGCTGATGGTTAGGTGGACATTTAGAGGCTTCGTCTGCGTGAACTCACCTTCTTCGGGGTATACTCCGGTCAAGGCGGAGGCTTGTGGGGCAAAAGCATGTTGGTCGCGGGGAAGACCGTGTCCGGAAGTCCCGCAGCTACTTCCGGCTCACCGCCGGCGCGACAGCTCTAGGCAGCCGGAGGCCGCGGGCGCGACTTGGTGGTGCATCCCGTCCAGCCGTGAGCCCTCCGGGTCGCGTCGCTGTTTTCAGCGATCAGCGCTGGTGCGTCACCAAAAGAGGTGACACCAAACCAATGAATCAAGGAAAAATACTGGGAGAACTCGAAATACTGTACCCATTGGAGTCTATGAAAGGAGGCGCTGGTGGCGCAGCTAACCCAAAGGCAGTGCCTCCATGGTGGTTTGGAACGACCAGCTGCATCTAGGAGAAAAATGGCAAATCTTGCAGCCTCGGAAACCTGATATGAGCCTTTTTCTTTTTTATTATTTTAAGGTCATTTTAATATACAAATCTCCAGAACTGGAACACATGCGACTTAAAAACACGCACGAATGGAATCATTCAATAAGTAATTCTAGAGACAAAACTCACTCCTTAAACTTGGGGGAAATGCCCATGGAACACTTAAAAAATTGATCATACACTTGGACATTAGAAATTTTTAAAAAATTTATTAAAGCATCAAAAGTCACT